ATTCTTGACAGAAAACTATTTGAGCAAAAGCTCAGCAGCCTAAATAGCACACAGTCCATGCTGGGGGCAGCAAGTAAAGCAGCAAGAAGAAGAATCCAGTGTTCCAGCAGGTAAGACGGCCAGATCAAGAAGGAGCTACTTCTGGATGACTCTGCGGGTCACTCCATGTGGCCGAGGAGTGGCCTTTGAAATCTGATAGACAAAGAGATTCAGGAGAATGATAAATGCAGTAACCAAAGCATAGTTAAGTTCAGGAAGAAACGACCAGGAAAAGTACAGACTGAAGGCATAAACTAAGCATTTATTTTTTTAAACAAGTAGAAGGGAAAGGAAAGAGAAAAACAGAACAGAGAAATAAACAAGCATACTGTTTTAATGTATAAAAAGACCACAGGACAGAAACTGTCACTGCTAACTGTGGGGCACCACCCTATCTCTACGATCGTCCTCAGCTTACCCACATATTTGCAAACTACCCACTTATTAAAATGTCCCTTTAACTATCCTAATTTGAGTATGCCATCTTCTTTGGTGATGGAACCCTGACTATACATTTGATCATCTTTAAATCCCTGAATATGTCCCCTTAATGGTCTGCTTCAGCTCAAAATCAGCATGCCTATTACCCACTCACCTGCTTCCTCAAATCCCTATACAATACTATCGTCAACACTCTGTGTCAAACACACAGTATTATCTTAACTATTCCTCTCCCCTTCACCTGCCATGTCTTGCTAGACCTTACACAGTGACATAGCTTATATAAGCCCCTTCTGTTCCTATTGCTTCTAACCCTGTTTCAATACTTTTCAAGTCATCCCAACTCATGCTACGACCGCCAGCCTGCCTGCCTCATCTTCTCCCCTACAACTTACCCTCTGTCTACCGAGATACTAAATACATAGTACTTTCCACTCAAAACCTTCCCATCTGTCTGCATTTTATATACCTAATTACCCACTCTTGGGTCCAAATCGCAATCTAGTCACAACTCTTAATGGAAGGAACCTCCTGTCAATGTCTTATTTACTCAATATCGTCCAAACATACCTTGAACTCTACTACTCCAGCCTATTTATTAATGACATTTCCTCTAGTCTGAAGTGCCTTTGGCCTACTTCCTGGATGTCCATCCAAATCCTCCCAATATTCCTCCTTCTTCTCTTTCTCAAAAAACATTCCCTGATCCTGTTCATTGAAAAAACAGTGCCCTTGCACATAAAAAAAATGCAAAGTACTTACTAATACAGTCTCATAAATTTAAGTGAAAGGTTAAGAGAGAGAATAAATACAGTAAGTTAAGGTGCAAGATAAAGAGGCAGATCCTAAATAGTTCAATCTTCCCAGACAAGTTTAAAAGATTTCTATCAAAACTTATTATTGTCCCTGGCAGGGCAACTCAGTTGGTTAGGATGTTGTCCCAATGCACCGAGGTTGCGGGTTTGATCCCCAGTCAGAGCATATGTAAGAATCAAACAATGAATGCATCAGTAAGTGGAACGACAAATCGATGTCTAAAGGTCTCCCTCACTCTCTCTTCTCCTTTGCTCTCTCTAACATCAATAAATAAAAATTAAAATACAATTCACAGCCATACACATACATATATACATATTTTTGAGTGAACATAAAAATTGCATTTTCCAATCTTAGGAAATTCAAGAGACAGCCCTCTCCCTTACCCCCAGCTCAGCCCTTCTGTCTAAGGAGCAGCCCCAGAGCTGGTGCACCTGCCAGCCAAGACTACCCTCCATCCACACCACACTGCGTTTTCTCAAAGGCTCTTCAGGGTTGCTAACCCTAAATTATCCTCAAAAAGCAGTTTATATGTTTAGATGAATGTGCCTTTTTTTTAAATCCTCACCTGGGGGCATTTTTTTCATTGCTTTTAGAGAGAGAGGAAAAGAGAGAAAGAAATATCAATGACAGAGAGAAGCGTTGATTGGTTGCCTTCCATAGGTGCCCAGACCGAGAGTCAACCCCACAACCTAGGTAGGTACCCTGACTGGGAATCAAATTTGCAACCTTTTGGTTATGGGACAACACTCCAACCAAGCGAGCCACATGGGCCAGGGCTAAATATGCCTGTTGGTAAACTTTCAAAACATCTGATTTTTCCTATAAATTTTAAGAGGGGATTACTATTATATATAAGCTCTGTGAGGGAAATGACTTTCAGACTATAAAAAGGTGAGACAAAATAGCATATAATTACACCTAACAAAATGAGAAATCTTTTCTTTAAATAATGAAGATGGCTAAATATGCATCACTAGATCTGAGGAGTCCTGCCTGGATGACACCGTGAACACTGTCTCTGGTGTGGACATACATGTGTGGGTACACAGGCACGCAGAGAGCCGGCGTACAGGCCAATGAGTATCATTGCAAACATTTTTAGGAAGACGAATAGAACCCAAGTTACCAGGCAGGAGCATTCCAGGAAGTGTTTCCTAGATGTGCAAAAGGAAATCTTACTCTCCATGAATCTCATTTCCACCACTTCCCCAAATAAAACCTGCTATAACCATCGTATAAATATCCCTTTGCTTTTCTTCCCACTCAGCTTCTTCTCCAAAATTTACTCAAATCTGGAATTTAAGTTAGAACGTTACACCACCAGAAGAGAGCCTGATTCTAATCCCCTACCTAAAAGGAAACATGCATTAGTACAAGACATAACAACCGTTATTCATTTGTATATGTTCTAGGTGTCAGAAGAATGGAAAATTTATTTGGATTTTAATTTGCTTAAAAATGCATTTGAGTCTTTACACAAAAACAAATTTAAGCTCAGGTTAACTTTTCTAAACTAATCTCTATATATTAATGATTCTAAAAAGTTACATTAAAATCCACGAGCTGTAGTACTGTAAAACAACTGTATATTGCAGACTTCATGGTCTGCATGCCTTATCATGAATGAATGTGAGTGTTTTAAATTGTTGTCATTGCTGATGTGTGTGTGAGCCAGCAGTTTTCGGTAAGAATTTGGCATTGCTTTTTTAAATGAGCTGTAACTGAATTCTAAGTTTTACAGGGCTGTTCTGTAAAGAGAGACAAAAATAGCTATACTATGCTGTTCTGTATTTTTAGAAGTAATAAAGCAAGCATAGATTTCCTTAAAAATCCATGAGTCAGTACGCAATTAAAAACTAGGATGAACTTCTCAGGTACCTGTAGACTATTTCAGCATAATGTGAGTTATTTACTCATATTTCATTTTGGTGTTGAAGAAAAAGAAATCTAAAAAAATATTATCAAGTGTTCAAAAACCACTTTAAAAAAAATCACAAAAGTAGCTGTTATTTAACCCGGACTTTGTGGAGCCTCTTTTTCAATATCACAGTCACTCCTCTCTCTGTCCTACAAATGATATCATCACATCCAGAGTTAAACGAGGCTAAGAAAATGAAATCTCTTAAATGGATTATATTTGCTTCCTGTTTGGAATTGCTTTTACCTGAGTACTTTAAATTAACGAAGCAATGACCACCAACTGTAAAACCAGTAAGAGTTGACCGACCTGCTCCGTTATGTTAATGTAATAAATATTTTACCATAAGATAATTGCCTGCTGATGCAAACTTGGCACTGCAGTTTTCATTTTTTACAGTTTCTAATTTGCTATCAAAAATCAGTCTTCTGTAGCCTTTCGAATATTTCCCAGAAATTTCAAACAATTCTATTCTTTCATCCGACTTTAGCTGTCCTACTTTTCTGTTCTTGTGCTCTTAGTTTTCTGTTTAGCTGTGCTCCTATAATGAAATTGGTTACAATAGCTACTTAAAAATATCGTCACACACGACGTTTTCAGCTGTTCTTCCTATTATTCTCCTCAAGAAGGAAATTCATCTCTGCCACTTGATTCCTGGTTTCTGGCTGAGAAACTCTCCAAACGCTCAGAAAAACGCAGGTCTCTTCCTGCCACTTGCACTATTATCAGTTGTAGTTCGAGTACCACTGCAAACTAGAGCCACGGAGCCTATTGAAGTCGGTGGCGACCTGTTCTGAAAAATAACTGATCACCACTCCACATGGGGCTTGCTGGCTTGTTGTCACCACTGCTCTGAGCAGCGAGGAAGCTTCCAGTCCCCTCCGCTCAGCAAAAAGGAAGCTGGAGGAAGAAGCACGGATCGGAGCCAGGAGACGCTGAGAGTCCCAGGGGGCGCCACTGGGCCCCCGCAAGCAGAAAGCCACCGGCCACTCACAATTTTCATCATGAGACTGGGCTACTTCTACAGAAATGTATCTAAATATTTAGGAATTTTTATTAGGGCTATACGCCAAGCACAAGGATTCTTTTTCTCCATTAATGGCAAACGATACATTTTAATGTGCATTACTATAAAATAGTCACTATAATCCTTCCGGTAAAAATACTCTTATTTTCTTTATGGTCAATGGCAAAAATTAAAAGGTTTCTTCAGGAACTGTACATAGTAACCCCCAATTAAACATACAGTTATCTCACCACAGACACAGTGCAAATACTACAATTTCTAAGACAAAAAGGGGAGAGGAATCTGAGAGACTACCGCAAAGATGCTTCTGACCTAAGAAAAAAGGGATCACACTGCTCCACCAATACTGAGTCAAAGAAACTCTTCATCTGTTATAGAATGAAAATGCCGTATTTATTTTTTAGTAAAAAAAAAAAGGTACCCTCATATACTAGCCTACTGACCTCTATAAGTAAATAACAACTAGTCAATTTCCACAGTCCCAGAAAAAGTGATAAAAGCAATTTTATTATTGTGGGCCTGTAACTGTATCCTTTGGATCCACGATATGAGATGCTATTATATCTCAAAAAATTATAATGGAGAACTTCTTATATCAATACATTCCCTTAAGTAAAAGATGTTTCACTGGTTTCCAATCTATACTAAATAGCATTCGAAAGAGGTTTTTGGGTACACTTTTCATCTGGCAACAGCAACGTGGACACTTACGAAATGAGGAAGTTAGAAATAATAAACATTGGAGGAGATGTCTACCTGTTTCCACATTCTCCGTTTCAACTTCTTGTTCTTCTGCCACATCTTGCATCATGTAAGTCTCATCGTCATAAACCAGAACCTGGGCCGCGTAGCCCTGCTCTAATCTGGCACTTGGCACCGGCTCCACAATCACTGCTGGGTATTCAGAAACCTTGTCACTTTCCTACAAGAGCAAATTTAAAAAACAATCAGCCTTTTTGTTTGCAAACGCTGGGTTCCCTTTCAAACCCTTGAGTTCACAGAGTCCCGAGGAGCCCACACAGTGAGTCTCATGTATGATAAATATGAATGCAAAAACCAACACGAGAGGTGAAAAGGGCTCACTTGAGCAATCTGTGCGAGTCAAGAGGTGAGGCACAGACAAAACATTTTAAATAACCAGAGCTTTAGGGTGAAGATGGCAAATTTAAAACGTGCATGACATTTCACTCTCTCATGAGAACAACAAGATGTTTAGCCTGTAAGGAGAAGAGCTAAAAGCAACGAGGGAGAAGAACTAAGAGTAACAATGAAACCTTGGAAGATGGAAAGTGGATGGGCAAATATTGCTGAGTGGTTTAGCGGGCCCAGGAAAGCCCAACCCATAGCCTGACACACTGCACTGGAGAATCCTCAGAAGGCAACCCCAGTGACTTCTGGGAATGGAACAGCAGCAGGTGGGAGAGAAGGAGGAGGAGGTTCAAAACAAGGGAGATCTTGTTAAACCTGTTTGTGACGCGCTTTGATTCCTAGACTCACTTGCTCCTCCATGACGCTAGGCAACCAGCCCTCCCCGCCTCAGCAGAAGCCGGAGAGGGAGAGACAAGAGCAGCTCTGAGGTACATCAGGCGCCTCTGCTAGTATCACCACTGCACCAGGAACAGTTTCCAATCAGCTGTTTAGTTCTCGCCCTCCTGTTACATTTCTCATAGCCACTGTCAGGGACCTCCACGACTTTAATGTCTTTAAGGCTCGAAACGTGGCTTTATTTATCGCCAGCTTTCTCTAAATTTATGCAGAAACACATTCAAGTAAGCAGACTCATTGGCTGGCTTTAGTCCTCAACTTTTAAGCACAAGCAGACAGCCAAGCATTACCAGCTATCTAAGACACAGAATATATACATATACGTACATATGTATACACATATACATATATATATATCCATATTCTTCACAGAGGAAAAAGATTTTATATCCATAAAACAAGAAGAGAATACAATAAATAACATTTAAAAAATGAAGTGTTCTTAGAAATTAAAAACACAATACCTTAAATAAAAAGACAGAGGCTTGGAAGATAAAATCAAGGCAGTCTTCCAAGAACCAGAGAAAAAAGATCAAGCAACGGAAAACAGGAGAGAAAAGAGAACCACAGGAGAGGCCCAGTCCTGGAGGGCCAACCTCGGAATGACAGGAGTTCCAGAAATAAGAAAATGGAGAGGGAGGGGGAAGTTGGCAAGAAATCAAAGAATTCCAGAAATTTCTCTAGAGCTAAAGGACATAAACTGCTCGTTTGAGAAGACCTACCAAGTGTTAGCATAAAAAAATCAAGGGAGACCTACCTACACTCAGGCACACCATTGTGGGACATCATAACAGTGGGGACATGAAGAAGATTCTACAAGCTTCTAGAAAGAAAACGCACACCACACACAAAGACCGAGGACTCAGTTCAGTCTTCTCAACCGTCACACTGGGAGGAAGATGACAATGGAGCCATTTCTTCAAAATTATAATGGAAAATTATTTGCAACCTAGAATTCTTCACCCAGCCGAACCATCTTATGAAAGTAGAATAAAGGTTTTCTTTGGTGTGAAAGAGCTCAAAACATTTACCTTCCTGCATCTTTTCTCAAGAAGCAACTGGAAAGTGTTTTCCATCAAAAAAAAGAGTAAATGTTTAATAAAAAGATGACTTAGGATACAGAACACAGGAGGTCCAACACGGGGGAGAGATGATAGCAATCTTCGGGGAGGCCCGTGGAGGGAGAGCCCAGGCTGCCAGCCGTGTGCCGGATTCCAAGGGGAACCAGTGCAGTGCAGCGTGGCTCCTGAGATAGCGCGACCAACTGTCACCTCCAAGATAAACACCGACGCTGCTTCGCAGCACCGAATGCCCTGATAGAGCCGATTCCAGCCTGCTATTCCTATCTAGCTTGCCTTGATGCACCCACTCACCCCACCCTGCCTTGCTCCCTGGATCAGCTGAGCACACTCCTTTCACCTCCCGGATGAGCTCTGCTTTGCTGCACTCCCAAGTGCTGAAGGAAGACTACCAGGAGCACAGGAATCAAAAATAAAGAACGGCACTCTTCCTGTGTGACCACATACCTGCTGAACCAACATGCAATACGGGGTCCGCACCACAGCCCCGCCAGGTTCCTGACGCCGCTGGCCCCGTGCTTCCAGGAGCTAACTCACGGCACCGCTTACTGCCTGCCTGAGCAGAAGCGCCTGAAACTCAGCGACCCCCATGCTAAGTTTGTCAGCCCTTTCCCTGGGTGCCTCCGTCTAACTGTGGAAATGCCGCCCTTTCCGAACTCAGCAAGCTTGGCACACTCCTCATTTTTTCAAAGGAAACACTATGTCCTTTAGGAATACATACACAGACAATAACACTAGGAGGAAAAGAAGTAACACCTAAGTCAGGGTAAGGGCACCTCTGGGGACAGACAGGGCAGAGATAATAGCAGGACAGACTTTGCACTCTCAAATACCAGTGATTTCTATGTTTTAACCTGAGTGATAGGTAATATATGTTCTTTTTGTTACTCTTAGGCTGACACGTATATATTTTATACACTCTTCACTTTACATCAAACATTTCACAAAAGCTTTAAATAAACTGCACAAAGATACAGCCACTTCCAATTTTTATAAAAGGAAGTATCTGCTTGAATACTAACACTGAATTTCTACTCTGTGTAAGGCAAAAAATTTGAGCCCAACTTTTCACCATTAAAAAATATTCTTTCACACAAATGGAATATAATTACAGTCAAGTCACCGTGCATTCTGCTCAGCTTTTTAGCCACAGGCTGCAGGCAGTGCTGCCCAGCTACAAAGCCGCTGCTGATGAGAAGCACAGGACAGGTAATGACCGATGCAGTCTCCACTCCTCAGAAACTTGGAAAGAAGCATCATAAGGAGCAGGTGAACTCATATTAAACCAATGTAATCCAAGGGACTTATAACTTCTTTCACGCCTCTGAAATCTAACAGCATATTTAGTAGCACTATTAGTCCGAGACTACTTTATACTGTGAACCACCAATCCCCACCCTACCAGGAGAAATTTTCGAAACCATGAAACAACCGAAGACTGGAATTATGCAGAAGGCTGCTAACCTTCTATAGAATAGGTGGGGCTACTTTACACTGTGATAATAGTATGCAAACATACTATACTCGCCCTCAACTTTGGAGGGCATCTTTTCACATTATAATCAGAAATCAGAATTGCTTGCATTACTTCTCTGTGCAAAAGCTTTCACAATTCCCATTTGTCAAAACGGAGAGTTGAACATACTAAACATTGGTTTTCACACGCTCTTTGACATATAAGCCTCATCCATCTATTAAAAGTTGAGTTGTGGCCCCCAAAAGATGGTGAAGCCCTAACCACCAGTACCTGTGAGTCTGAACTTATTTGGAAGTAGTCTTTGCAAGGCGATCCAGATAAGACGAGACCGTCAGGAGAAACCCTAATCCAAATATGAGCAGGTCCTTATCAAAAGCGCAAATATGGACGAGACACATACGGGAGGAGGACGATGTGAAGACCCAGGGAGAACACCAAGCCAAGACAAGCCAAGAAGTACCAGAAGCTACCAGGAGCTAGGGGAGAAACACGGGAGAGATTCTCTGTGACAGCCACCAGAAGGAACCGCCTCTGCCAGCACCTCGGTTTTGAATTTCTAGCCTCCAGAACCGAGAGACAGTAAACACCTTCTGCTTAAGCCATCAGGCTCATAGCGCTTCCTTCCAGCAGCCCCCAGGAAGAAACAGACCACCTTCACAGCCTTAACTGCCTTATTTCCTATGTTACGTCACATAGCTGTCCACTTACTTGCTGTGCCCCTAACTCCAAACGTGAGAGCTTCCATGGCTGTTTTTCATGTTCTTTTATGGCCTGAAATACCTTCCGTATCTGTCCAAACCCTTTTCATCCACCAAGGGCCAGGTTCCAGAGAACCTTCTCATAATCCTCCAGTCGGTTTTCCCATCCAAATACTCCCAGAACAAGTTGTCTGCCTAACAGTACCACTGTTCATTTGCCTGACCTATAATTATTGGTTTGCATATCCAACTCCTTGACAAGACAGTAAGATGTCTGAGAACAAGACTGCTTATCTTAGTCACCAAGATGCCCTTCGTATAAACCGAAGAGGCATTTAAGCATTTGTAGCGTGGCTCGAAGAACGATAAAGCACAACACATTCTAATGTTAACAGGTACTCGTGGATTCTCCATTTGCCAATCTGCAACGCCACGTACGTCTTCAGGAGGTTTTCCTCTGCCAAGTACCAGGAGCCAGAGGCCACCGCTACAGACAGGCAGATAATCACTGCTTTGCACAGTGTAGGGGAGGTAGCTATTCTTACTGGGGAAGGAGGGTGGAAAAGGAAAAGAATCAGGAGTCTTCGCTTTCTAAGAATATGGTAAACACTCACACACCCACTGAGTTCTTTGACTTAGGACCACTGGACTCTTGATAGGGGTCACCAAAATACGCAGTCATCAAAACGCACGACATCCAGGTTCGGTGGGTCTTGGCACAACCCATCTAGTTCCTCGTGAGCTGAGGTTGTCAGACTCAGCAAACAAAAACACAGTATACCCAGTTAAATTTGAATTTCATATAAACAATGAATGATAAGTATAAGGATGCTCCATGCAACATTTGAAACACATTTAAAGTAAAAGTTGTCTGCTGTTTATGTGAAATTCAGATTTCACAGGACAGCCTGTATTTGACCGAGTAAACCTACTGTGAGCACTAACCGTGATCTCGGAAACTCCTATTCGACGAGAGAGGCCCTCCGCGTGAACAGGCAGGGCAAGTACAAGGCTGCAGGGGTAACAACCTAAGTGGCACTTTGGTGATGCCCTCAAGCCACTGCTCTCCAGGTAGCAGAGGTCTCCAAAGGTAAGCACCATCCCAAGGCTGGGGCCAGGGGTA